GGTAGAGCCACGCAGCAGTTTTTGCTGTTGCATGTATGGGCCGGCTCGAGCCGTTGGTTGGTACCACGACCTCACAGAATACCGACGTGAAGTAGAAGCTCTGCTTCTGCGTTTCGTCTGATGAGTCCAGGTGGCCGGAGGCCCAATTCCCCCCCCCCCCATCAACATGGTAGCGGAATTACACGATGAAATACCCCAGGAGGGTACCAGTACCCCTGGAGAATCCCTCGCTGAGCATCCACGACCATGTTATTCCGATCCTAAACGTGGGTGCTCAGGCTGCCCCGCGTATTCTGGGGGGGGGGGGGGGCAAAATTCCGCTCAAAAGCATAACTGCTAGGGGCAAACTGAGCAAGAACACCAAGGCGACCCCTGCCACGCTATCCGTGAATTTCTGCAACATCAGGGGACTTCACTCTAACCTAAACGCCGTCCACTACCATCTCGAGACGGCGAAGCCGGCCTTGCTCTTTCTGACCGAGACGCAGGTTTCCTCTCCGGCTGATATTTCGTATCTCTCCTACCCGGGGTACAAATTGGAGCATTCCTTTGTGCCTCGGGCTGGAGTTTGCGTGTATGTCAGAGAGGACATCTGTTCTCGACGCCTCGGCAGTCTTGAAGGTTCGGACCTGTCCATCCTTTGGTTACGCGTAGACAGCGACGACCATCCGCGCGTCTACGGGTGCCTCTATAGGTCCCATAGCGGTAATGCCGAAACAGACCGACTCATCGACCACGTCCAAATGGCTACAGATTCCTTGCTACAACAGGTCCCATCCGCAGAGATCGTGATCCTCGGCGATTTTAATGCCCACCACGCTGAATGGCTCGGTTCACGTTTAACCGATCATGCGGGGAGATCTGTTTATGACTTTGCCTTGGCATATGGTCTGACACAACTGGTTACTTCACCTACGCGGATTCCAGATGTGGAGGATCATACACCTTCCCTGTTGGACCTTCTGCTGACCTCTCATCCGGACGGATATCAGGTTTCCGTCGATGCCCCTCTCGGCTCTTCGGACCATTGTCTGATCCGGAGTGTGGTGCCACTCACGCTCCCTTCGCGGTTGCGTTTTGCAGGTTGCCGCCGTGTTTGGCATTACAGGTCGGCGGATTGGGACGGAATGCGGTCTTTCTTTGCATCCTACCCATGGGGGCGGGTTTGCTTCTCGCCGGATGATCCCAGCGCTGTTGCTGACTCTGTCACTGATGTGGTGCTACAGGGAATGGAACTATTTATTCCATCATCTGTGGTACCCATCGGAGGCAGATCTCAGCCCTGGTTTGGTCGCTCCTGTAAGACTGCTTTACGCAGTAAGCAGGAGTGTTATCAAGCCTGGGCTGCGGCTTCGGCGACTCGGGATGTAAACACCAGCACACTTAAAAAGAAGTATAACTTCGCCTCCAGGTCCTTCAAAAGAGTTATTGCCAGGGCAAAGTCAGAGCACATAGGCAGAATTGGCGAGAAACTAGTTCGCCTTCCTTCGGGAACCCGTGCATTCTGGTCTCTCGCCAAGGCTGTCCAAGGGAATTTCTGTAAGCCATCACTACCATCTCTGCACAGGGAGGATGACTCACTGGCCCATGACGCAAAAGACAAAGCCGACCTTTTAGGCTCCCTTTTTGCGTCCAACTCGACTCTTGATGACGCGGGGAAAACACTGCCGACCATCCCGCGGTGTGAGTGGTCCATGCCGGATGTGCTGTTCTTACAGCGCTCGGTTCGCAAAGCACTGCTCTCCCTGGACATCCAGAAGTCGTGTGGGCCTGACGGAATCCCCCCAATTGTGCTGAGGACGTGTGCTCCGGAGTTGGCACCGGTCCTAACGCGTCTTTTCCGGTACTCCTACTCCCAAGGCGTAGTCCCGAATTCATGGAAGACAGCTTTTGTCCACCCGATCCCTAAAAAAGGCGACCGCTTAGACCCATCCAACTATAGGCCTATCGCGATCACCTCCTTGTTCTCCAAAATAATGGAATCCATTATTAACTGCCAGCTCATCCGGTACCTTGAGGATCACCAGCTGATTAGTGACCGCCAAAACGGTTTTCGTCGGGGTCGATCAGCTGGTGATCTTCTGGTCTACCTGACCCATAGATGGGCGGAGGCAGCAGAGTCCAAGGGGGAGGCGTTGGCCGTTAGTTTGGACATTGCGAAGGCCTTCGATCGGGTTTGGCACAAAGCGCTTCTTTCGAAGCTCCCTTCCTATGGGCTTCCCGAGAAATTGTGCAATTGGATCACCAGCTTCCTTGCAGATCGGAGCATCAAGGTCGTTGTAGACGGTGCATGCTCTGACTACAAGCCTATTAACGCTGGTGTTCCACAAGGCTGTGTGCTATCACCAACGCTGTTTCTTCTGCATATCAATGATATGTTGCTAACTGGTAACATTCATTGCTATGCGGATGACAGCACTGGTGATGCTCTATACACCGGCCGTGCCAATATTTCTCGGGAAAACGTCGCTGAGTACCGGAACAAACTTGTGTCTGAAGTCGAGTCTTTGTTGAGCAAAGTCTCGGATTGGGGGCGACTAAATCTAGTCCAGTTTAATCCTCAGAAGACACAAGTTTGCGCGTTTACCGCTAAAAAGAACCCCTTTGTCGTATCTCCTCAGTTTCAAGACACTTCCCTTCTTGCCTCAGCCAGAATCGGTATCCTCGGAGTCGACATATCGAGTGACGTGCAGTTTCGTGGTCACATGGAAGGGAAGGCCAAATTGGCCTCTAAAAAGCTTGGCGTGCTCAGCAGGGCGGGACAGTATTTCATGCCGGCACACCGCCTGCAACTTTACAAGGCGCAAGTTCGGCCTCACATGGAATACTGTTCCCATCTCTGGGCAGGGGCTCCCCAGTGCCAGCTCCTTCCACTTGACCGCATCCAACGCAGAGCTGCTCGAATCGTCGACGACCGAGCCCTTTCCGATCGGCTCGATTCATTGGCACTGCGAAGAGATGTTGCATCCCTTTGCATTTTCTTTCGCATCTACCATGGGGAGTGCTCTGAGGAATTGTTCGGATTAATCCCAGCCGCCAAATTTCACGAACGCACATCGCGGCAGAACTCCCGATACCATCCACACCATCTGGATGATTGGCGGTCCACCACTGTGCGATTTAGAAGATGTTTTCTTCCTCGCACGACCTCCTTGTGGAAACAATTACCATCAGCGATTTTTCCGGACCGATACGACTTAGGGACCTTCAAGAAAAGAGCGTACTACTTTTTAAAAGGCCGGCAACGCATCTGCGATTCCCCTGGTGTTGCAGTTGTTCATGGGCGGCGGTAGTCACTTACAATCAGGTGAGCCGCATGCTCGTTTGCCCCCTCTCCTATAAAAAAAAAAAACAATGTTTACACTTCTTGGTACAATTGGCAGTACTTTTAGTAATTTATTTACATAATGTATAATTTATTTAAATTTTCAAATTAGTCTTAAATGGCGGGAAATTAACTCTGAATATCTAGAACTAAGACCTCTCCCGATGTATAAGTCTGTTCACTAAGATAGTGGCGGTACACCCAAAGGCGCACTTATTATTTTGCTTTTATTTTATTATTTTTATTGTGTTTGTAAATACATGTTTTATATTCTAAGAATAAATTAGAATACTATTTTATTCTTATGGTTATTGTAATAAAATACGAATATAAATAATAAACACAAGTTAAGTAGGAAATTTAAAATGCCAAATTCTCCTGCGCCTGTACGCCGCACTGTGGCCTTTCATGTCGCGGCGGCACCTTTGACAAGATGCAGCAGGTGCCAAGGCAACACAGGCGATAGTATCTAAGCGAAAAGAGTATAGGCATGATATGTTTTCATCGTCACGATTGACGATGTCTTGACTATACTACTCGCACCTTTGACTCTGCTGCATTTGGTCTGGGTATTTGGTATCAGGCGTAAACAAGATAGTCACACCGCCATTTATCGGTAGCCATAAGAATTATCAGACATTCCCATAATCGTCATTTATGACACCTGCGAAAGAAAGTGCGACGATAGATTTTTTTTGGAAGAAAATACGTGGTAGAGCCATGCTGCAGCTATATTAGTAGTAGATATAGTTGTAGCACAAATCGGTCAGCTCGACCGGGGAAAGGACCGCGTTCTCACAGAATACCAGCGTAAAATATCAGCTTAACACTGCTGTGTTTCGTATGGTCAGTGTGGGGAACCGGAGACCCTTTTTACTGGAAACGAGGCATTACATCTTAGTCCTCACGGGTGACAACGCATCTGCGTTTTGATTCGTAATCGAGAATAGATGTAGATGTCTATGGGCCGCTGTAGCGGTTTGCCATCAGGTGGACTGTGTGCTCGTTTGTCATCCTTATCCTATATAAAAAAAATCAAATCAAAAATTAGCTAGGTTCTTCTGTTAAGATCAGAAGAAATCCTTAATAGCTGAAGACCGAAGTCAGGAAGTTGCTGGTGTTTCACCGCCGTACCTTTGAAAGCAGGTAACGCCGTTGTCCCGCGCAAAGAGTATAATCCTGGGCCTGATCTCTCGTGTCGGATTGCAGTACCATTGGACAATGAGAGTGTGCACTTGTACTTGGGCAAATACTCGTGCATTATAATCCTGTTCAACGCAGATAGATAGTCCTCATTGAGACTGGCAGCTGTGATCAAAATTCGGTCTTCAGGACATTGTTTTTATAAATTGTTACCGTTACAGCCTATTAAAGTCCACTGCTGAACATAGGCCTCCCCCAAAGATTGCTCATAGAGGAGATATTTGCCGCAGTCGCTTGGAAAATGTGTTGGCAACCACATTTTTTCATTTTAGTAGTAATTAGGAATGGGCTGCTGCCCATCTTCTGATTTCCTTCCCTCTGTCGCCTCTTACGACACCCACGGGATCATATGGAGTAGTGGATATTCTTACACCCCCACTACATGGTAATTTTTTAAATACCTAATAAATATAAATTTAAAATAAATTTAAATTTCATAAAACATAATTACTATTCATCAGCTAATTAAATCATGGCCGCTCCGAAGCCGGTGACGAAGAAACTCATCAATTCACCGGAAACATGCGTGGATGACAATTTACGCGGCGTAGTGGCCTTGTACCCCGGTCTCCATCTGCATCCGAAGCATCGAGTGATCACTTTGAGAACAAAGGTAATCATCAAAATGAGTTAACCGTCTTTTTATGAGTTCGCATCAGCCTACTGCTGAACATGGGCCCATTGGACATCCATTGGACAATCACACAAATGGAGAAACATCTATAGAAGAATATATATCTAGTTCTGTGCGGGATTCGAACCTGGAAAATAATATGTATAGCGAATAGTCTTACTCGTAATCTTAATTATAACTTACTCCGTTGGTTTAGTGGTTGCTGGGTACGAAGCCCTGGTCAAGACAAAATCAGTTCTGGGTTTTTTGTTGAGAATTTTTTTGTAGTAGCTCTGGAGTCAGCAAGCAACCTCCTTACCTTGAAAAGCACTTAAAGCTGAAATTCCTGCGCCTTATCTCTCCCTGATCGTATCGGGTTACTGTATTTTTGGACTATAAACTTGAGGAAATAGAGAGTGCACCTGTTCACACATAAATCATAACTTTTTTACATTAAAACATAAGATAACAGGGTAGGACTGGTAGAGAATGCCAATAGGCATTGAGTCCACCATTTGCAATCTAACAGTTGATAAGTTAAAGTTACGTTCCACTGCTGGCAACAGGCCTCCTCTCATTTCTGAGAGGGTTTTTAAGGCAAGGAAGTGTCCGCCGCGCTGCCCCAACGAATGTTGGCGAACTTCACATGTCATCGAAATATTTTTTTATTATTTCTCAGACGTGCAGGTTTCCTTACGATGTTTTCCTTCACCGCCGAGCACGTGGTAAATCAGCACTTAAAACTGAAATTAACAATTTCATTGGTGCTGGCGGGATCGAACCCACGTACTGTGATACTTACAGCGAGAGAACCTTAAAATATTGAATGAATAAACAAAATAAATAAATATAACTAAACGCTAACCTTCAAACTTTAAATGTTGATTCTAAATTTGTAACGGTCACCTAATAAATGTCATTACATATTCTTCTTTTCAAATTTTAGAGTGATTCCGGAAGAGTAGTTGTCCTCGGTGGGGGAGGGTCAGGACATGAACCGTTCGCTGCAGGTATGCAAATCGGCTACATTTGGAAAATTGCGATTGTTAAAGTTAAAATAATAGAGATTTATCATCATCATCATCATCATCACAGCTAATCATAGTCCGCTGAATACAGGCCTCCCGTAATGATTTCTTTATAGGTGGAATATTTGCCATAGATCACGCTTGGCAGGCGGGGTGGCAACAGCAGATATATTATTTTGAGTTGTTATCAGGAAGATTCTACTGGTACTGGCCATCTTGATTTTCCCTCTATCGTCTCTTACGATACCCATTGGATGATATGTATGTGTTGTAGTAGAATTTCTTACGTCGCCATTACACGTGAAAAAATTGTAAGTACCTACTATGTCACGTAGGTTATTCTATAAAAAATTGTATGAGACCTCTGTAAAACTTAAAATATGTCAAAATCCAATATTTTAATGTAACGGAATTTTTGAATGTGATTTTCATCCCCTTCTAAACGTCGGATTGCTTTGAAACTTCGCACACTTATCAAGGACCGATGTCAATGCAATAATTTAAATAGTTTGTTCCATTATCCTTACCATTATCTTCAGGATTTGCGAATAATTCATAAAACAACTACGATTTCTGCCTGTTGCATCTACTGTAAGCCGCCCGCGTAAAAGAACATCAATCCAAAACAAACACGCTTTTGTAGTTAGCCGCACTAAAAAATACGAGTAGATAATAAATAATAGTTTAAAAAAAGGAAAAAATTGTAGATAACCGAACTAAAGAGTAGAAAATAATTTTTAATAAGTGTAAAAATAAGAAAATAGTGATTAACATAATAAATTCATTTTATTGTAAAAAAGCGTGGTGTGCTTGATGTCATTTGTTGTACTCGTAAATATTTTTTGTGGATATTTGTAAAATTTGCGTCATCATAAAAATATCTGACAAAGCACGCCACGCGTGTATGTAGAAACTGATGAAACTTCAATTCCTAATCTTTAAATGAGAACGTCCCACAGTTATTTACCGCACTTGTAGTGTGAACCACTTTAATTTATTTGCGTGCTAGGACAACCCTAGCGGACAGCTCCCGAGCGACTAACGGCCGCTCGGGAGCGGTCCGCCCGCGTCTCGGCCCGCACCTTACCGCACGATTGCCCCGTCTAGACGCCTTCGATAACCGACTAGTTAGTAGTAGTGACAGCTGTGGCACTGCTATCATCGATTCGCCTGCCAACCGTGACGATTAAGGCAAATCCTTACAACGGGAGAGATTCGTGTCCGGCAATGGACTTTTTTAGTCTGATTAAAAGGGTTTTTTCATAGAATAAAGGGTACAAACGGGCTCACAGACCACCTGATGGTAATTGGACGCTGTGGCCCTTAGTCATCTACATCTTCATCCAGCCGGTGTTGTTACCCTTGTGGACTAACATGGAATGCCTCGTTACCAGTAAAAACGGTCTCCTACACACGGCACAGCAGCACAGTTGTGCTGTTTCACACTGATGTTCTGTGAGAGGCGAGAGCGTGGTCCTTCACCGGTCGGGCCGACCCATTCGTGCTATATACAGGGTTATTTTTCAAAGAGTAGCCAAATTGTTAACTTAACTTCAAATATATAATTAAGGATATATCGTTATTGCAGTCAAAATACAAGCAAATAAGGCTTCTACTTTTATTTGAAATTTTCCCAAATTGAATGTGATTTATGTGCAACAACAATTTTACCTACTGATCGACCCTTACGAATGTTTGCGTGCGCAGTAAAACAATTAAAATAAGGCATTACCACGCATTTTGAATTTAAACGATAAAAGGACAGAATGTTTAAGATATTTTTAAATTATTTCTTCTTCACCATTTGCCTAAATGACTAATTCTGAACCTCTGCAAATTTGGCCTAAATTTAGTCGGTTATTGCAAAATAACCCTGTTTATCTGCAGCGTGGCTGGCTATACCACGTATTAATATATAAGATAGACAAACATTGGACAGTTCCTTGTTATATAATATCTAGCCGACAATCCAATAAAAACATCGAGCTGGTGTTTTTTAATGCCGGTGTTCATAAAAATTTCATATTAACAACTACAAGTTTCTCTCGCAGGTTTAGTTGGCTTGGGCATGTTAGACGGCGCGGTCGCCGGAGGAGTGTTTGCGTCTCCACCAACTGGTCACGTACTATACGGGATCACACAACTGTACAAATATAATTCAGGTATCTATAATATAAAAATGCATCGCTGAATGTGTTGCTAAGCGCTAATCTCGAGAGCAGCTGAACCGATTTCGCTAATTCTTTTTTTATAATATCCCTTGAAGTACCAAGATGGTTCTTACGGAGAGAAAAATTTAAAAAATTGCCTGCAAAAGTCTAAAAACAACACTTTTCTATATTCCTATACAAAAATTCGTAATACTACTTAAAAGTCAATTTGAACTTTAATACCATACCATAAAGTTTAAGTGTTAGTGGAGGGGTTCCGGGAAGGCAAAACAATTGAGTGACGTTAGTATCGCATAAATATTAATGTCAATATTTGTCAATATTAGCAGATAGCTGATGTTATAAGGAGTAACTTGGGCTGTTTTTATTTAAGGGTTCCGCGAAAAAGAACTCCACGCGTGCGAAGTCGCGGGGAACAGCTAGTTTTTCATATAAAAGTAAGAGCGACAAGCGAGCAAACAGTCCAACTGATGGTGAGTTGATGCTGTGGCCCATAGACATCTACATCTATCCTCTACACACGGGCACACAGTCCACCTGATGGTAATGGATGATATGAAATTACACGAATACCTCGCTCGTTACCAATAAAAAATGTCTCCAATTGAAAGATAAAGAAGAGAAACACAATTTTTCTTTCCGATCGTATTCACTCATAGATCCATTATATTAAAAAATGTAATGGATTTCTCTCGAAGAAATCATTTTCAGAAAAATATGGTCGCCTGTTGTACTTATTCTCAATATTATACTTCATTCATTCTGTATTTGTAGAATAATGAAGAATGAAAAAAAATTAGCTCATCGCCCCATAATGCTGGTGAATGTCTACAGAAGCGATTTAAGAATGTAGATACCATTTAACCACGATCCGCTTGACAAGAGAGTTAAATAACCTTTAGCGATGGCCACAATAATATTTATATAATATCATTGGATGGCCGCAATGACGATGAGATTTTTATTCCAGGAGGAGTAATTGTTATCATCGGCAACTACACCGGAGATCGACTGAACTTCGGGAAGGCTATCGAGAAAGCCAAGATCGCTGGCATAAAGGTGAGTTATTAATTTGAATGTAATCATTAATTCCGCGTAATAGTTTATTTTTAATTTGTTATATGTTGTATTATTTGTGGTAGAGCCATGTTGCTGCTATTATGGTTGCAGCACGAATGGATCGGCTGGATCGGGGAAGGAACACGCTCTAGACGCTACAGAATACCAGCGGAAAATAGCAGCTTAATGCTGTTGTGTTTTATATGGTAAGATCCGGAGAACCTATTTACTGGAAAAGAGGCATTCCATGTTAGCCCTCAGGGGCGACAACGCATCTGCATTTCGAATCTTAATCGAGGATGTATTAAGATGTCTATGAGCCACGGCATCCCCTTACCAACAGGTGGCCTGTGTGCTAGTTTTTCACCCTTATTCTATAAAAATAATCTTTTTACTTATCACGTTTTCTTTGACTGTACTCTGATTTCTAAGGCATTCGTCGATATTTATATGTATCGCATCCAAACGAATTTCATTTGACGCTTAATGGTATATATGATAGATTCTGTAGCTAATAAACCAAAAAAAAAAACACAAAATATAAACAAAATATCACGCCTGTCACCCAGAGGGGTAGGTAGAGTCTTTGGACTTCCGTTTTGCACGATCTATATAATCTACGCGTCATTTAGGGTATGCTATGCTCTTAATTTGACCTATCCCTGTTCTACATATTGCTAATTTGGCCAGTTCAGAGAGTCCCTAGTCGGCTCCGCCCCTCTCACTGCCTCATTCACTCTTTCTACGATGTCCAAACTACCGAAGCATTCCTTGCTTAATCACAACATATTCTTACTAACTAAGCTTTTCTCTTATCACACATTTCTTAAACTCTATGTCATGTTACAAGAGTCACTAACATAGCGTTGTGAATTGCCATACGTGCTTTTTTTGACTCGTTCTGACTTATCACGATAGAGTGTTGAACCCTATTTACTCTGTGTCTTGCATTCTCTCTTCGTTCTATATCTTTATCATTTCTACCATCCCTTCTAAACACATTCTAATTACACAAACTCATCCACTTACTCAACCAACTCCTTCTATTCTTCTTTTTCATTCTATTATTTTTACATGTGATTGTTCTTTCAAAACCGTAACAAAAGAAAATAGAACTTAAATTTAATCACCAATCACCCATATACTATTTTACCGCTTGGCGTTTACTCCCTTCTTTTGAACTTTCAGGTCGAAGGTCTGATAGTGGGCGAGGACTTGGCGTCTAGCCACAACAAGACTGGTGGCCGAAGTATGGTGGGGGAGGTTATATTTTATAAGGTACTCCCAACCCTCCACTATTTAAAGTGCAAAATATAATCCTCACAGTCAACGGCCGGATTTCTGTTACAAGTATATGACGTGTCGTTTTTTTTTTATTAGCGTATACGTGATGATTATAGCAATTTCTATTGAAGGCTGTTAGATCTTTTTTCGCACACACTGCATATATTTTTACTACATGCTTGTCGGTCAAGGAAAGCATCATAAAGAAACCTGCACCCACAAAAATAATATTTTAGTATTAAATTAACACTGAAAATGATAAACTAATATTTGGTTGACAAAAATGCTCAAAACTGTTCTCGTATTATGAAATTTACGGCGAAGGCTATATATATAGCCCCTTTGTTACCACAACTCTTAATGAGCGTCTATTACCATAATAATAAAAGTAACCATACACCAGAAACAGAAATAGAAACTTTTTGTAATCAATACAGATTATAAAAAATACTTATTGAAAGACACTCTTCTGTTTAATTACCACTGGTTCGTAAAAAAAACCTCTGTCCTGGGAAGAACCAGCAAGAACCCAGCGGGACTTTTTTAATTCTGAAAAATTCTAAACAAATTAGTAATAGCTTGGTAGCGATCATCTCATTCCCAGAGGTTATTATCATCCATTAATTCCTTAATACGAGTATTATAGAAACTCTGTTTAATAAAGTTTTTGAACTTTGAGCAGGTCAAATTTTGTATAATTTTCTGGGATTTTATTGTAAAAGCGTATACATCGCCCCAAGAGTGAATTAGTACTGATTCGATGGAGTCGAGTAACTGGTACTACTAGCTTGTGTCTGCCCCAGAAGGGTAATGGTTTTCGAGTATGTATGTATGTATGCATGTCCGTTTTTTTGACAAGTCCATCAAGCCGTAAACGTAATTTTAACACATAGGTTGTCATTAGATTCACCAGACAGATTTACTTCAGTCGGGTATATTAAAACCTGTTTTTTATTATATTTATTTCGTATATATATATATATATTTACGTGTTATAAGCCAGTGCTTGACTACAATCTGACCTGATGGTAAGTGGTGATGAAGCCCTAGATGGTAAATCCCACTCTCTCAGCGTAACAAAAGCTCTTGTTTTGAAGACGCCCAGATTGAATTCGGACGGAAAGATAGACGCTGGCAAATTATTCCACTCCTTTGATGTAGGTACACATTACGAAAGACGAAAACATAATATAATATAACTAGCTGGCCAGGTAGACGTTGTTCTGCCCTCTCCGACGACCCTGTGTCCTATAAAAATTCTTAAATTAGTAATAAAAATATTGAGGATCACTTATAGAGATAAAACTATCCTATCTCTCAAGTTGAACCAAACTGCACACAGTGTGCAAAATTTCATTGCAATCAGTTTAGTAGTTTAGGACAAACAATGTGACACGTAATTTTTATATATAAAGATTATGATAAAAGTGGCATAGGATATATTTTTTTCTCTTTTCAGTAAAGTGTGATACGTAATCGGGTTTTTTTATTTACTGTTTTATCCACTGGCTTGTATACTTTTCAGCTGTGTGGAGCGATGGCGCAAAAAGGATACGATTTGCTAACGATACGCAAAGTTGCAGTGGAAGCCAATAAATACATGGCAACACTCGGCGTTTGCTTGAGCGCATGCTCTTTACCCGGTACGTTTCTACTATTAAGCTGTGCTCGACTATTATTCTCCCTGATGGTAAGTGATGATGTAGTCAAAGACAGTGCACTTTGCACTGAATTAGTATAACAAAAGCCTACTCACTCTTGCCTTGAAGCCACGCTAGTAGTAGGCGATAGTATTTTTACGAGCTTGTTATTCGAGACAAATTGACACTTTAATTACAGAACACTAATTACAACTTAAAATCACACTAATAATAAAACACAATTGTACTACTGCTCACTTTAATTCGCAGTTGTATCGCTTCGAAGTATTCGCTTGTATCGCCAATTCAACACTGACTTCGGTCGCGGTCTATACCGGCCTTATATAGGGCATCAGATAGTTCTAGAACCTTCTACTGTAGAAACATCTAGATTCTAGAATCTTCGAGTACATACCGATCCCGAAAGACTAGGTGTCGATAGTTCTAGGAAGTTCTTCCATGGAAATTTCTAGAAGGATCTTGACTCTACTAGTTCTTCTGCTCGATACTAGAAGGCGCTAGTGGTAACTAGTGTCGCCATGTACCAGGCATTAATGGTGGCGCGCAACAGTACTATAGTAAGCTAGTTGCTAAGGGCCTGTCTAACAAGGTAGCACTCTCTTACCTATTTCTGCCGCGAAATAGCAGTGCTTTTGTACTGTTTTCTGGTGTGAAGGGTATAGTGCCAATGTAATTACAGTCTATAATTCTGTCATTCAGTCTTGATCCTTAGAGGTGACAACTGACCACGCATTTGAAGCCTTCCTTGTTTGAAGTTGGCTACAGAAATGTCCTTGGGCTGTAGTAGCTATTTACCATCAAGTTTTTCTTTATAGAGTAAGGATGATAAACGAGCACACAGTCCACCTGATGGTAAGTGGTTGCTGTGGCCCATAGACATCTACACCTATCTCCGTTTGCGAATTAAAATGCAGATGCGTTGTCAGCCGTGAGGACTACGATGGAATGCCTCGTTTCCATTAAACAGGGTCTCCGGTTCTCTACACTCACCATACGAAACACAGCAGCACTAAGCTGCTATTTTACGCAGTTATTCTGTGATAACGTGGACCTTCCCTGGTCGAGCCGATCCATTCACGGTACAACTAAATTATGGCTGCACCATGGCTCTTCCACGTAAATAAGCTCTTTATCTAGTTATTAAAAATACGCTTTGAATGTAATAATATGGAATTATTGTTTATCAGGTCAGCCTCCATTGTTTGAAATAGCAGATGACGAAATGGAACTTGGAGCTGGAGTGCATGGTGAGGCCGGTATAAAGAAGATGAAGCTTGGTACGGCCAAGGAGGTCGTGAAGATGATCATTGACCAGGTATTTGATCCTTAAAGTCAGTCCCGCTGGGTTTCTTGCTGGTTTTTCCCAGTAAAAGTAAAAGTTTCCTTCAGTAAGAATTATTTGTAACTGATACCCGCGAATTCGTCCGCGTTGCTTACACACATCACTGAACACGTAGTGCTTATAAAAATCGTTGTTTCTTAAAACTTTAATAACTTTATATTAAATGAAGATATCGCAATGATTCGCATTCGCAATAACTTAACCTTACCTTACCACTTACCATCAGATGGACTGTTAGTTCTAGGAACAGGTATGAACGTGGCTTCTACTCAGATGGCACTTAAGGAATTCTATTATATAACTAGCTGTTCCCCATGACTTGGCTCGCGTGTTAGGATTTTAATGTTTTTGCGCGGAACCCTAATTCTTTTCCTAAAATAAAAGTAGCCTGAGTTACTCCTTATGAAATCAGCTATCTGTCAGTGAAAGTCCCGTCAAAATCGGTCCAGCCGTTTCGGAGATTAGCCGGAACAAACAGACAGACAGACAGACAAAATTTTTAAAAATTGTATTTTAGTTATAAGTACCGTATTTACTTTCATATGCATTTAGTAAAAATCTGTAATTTTGACATTACAAACAGACACTTCTATTTTATTTATTTGTATCGATAAAACTTGTTTTTGGTAGGAAAGAAGTAGTAAAATTGAAAAATTACAACTACAACTTATCCTACCTCCTACAGATTAGCTGTATGTAATGGAATAAAATAGTTTTTATTCAGTAAAGATTACAATAAATTATGAATGAGTCTTTTTTTACTTTTACCACTGGTTACCAGCAAGAAACTATGTATATTGTGTTGTTAAACCCACTAGTTGGAAAATTTAAACTAGCGGTCACCCATTTCAGATTATAGATCACCTAAAGTTAAAAGCAGGCGACAGACTAGCGGTAATAGTGGATAACCTGGGCGGAACCTCGTTGCTCGAGATGAACATCCTCAGTGCTGAAACCAAAGACTACTTCGGTAAGTAACTATATTAAGACGACTGCCTCTGACTGCCTGCCTCTTTGACTGCATGAGGTTAATGATGAGGTCTCGGCTCGAACCCAAAAGAAAATAAGTTACTAAGTTTTTCTGCCAAGAGATTCTCAATAGCTGCTCAGAGTCAAGAAGTTGGCGGTGTTTAACTCCCGTGCCTTAGAAAGCATGGAAAGCCGTTGGTTCTGTGCCCGACTTTCTTTAAGAAAAGATCCAGAAGATTTTGTAGCTCCCGAAAGATTTTTTTTTTATAGGATAAGGGTGACAAACGAGCACACAGTCCACCCGATGGTAAGTGGTTGCTGCGGCCCACAGACATCCACATCCATCCTCCACTACAAATCAAAATGTAGATGCGTTGTCACCCGTGAGGACTAAGATGGAATGCCTCATTTCCAGTAAAAAGGGCCTCCGGCCACCTGCACTCACCAAGAGAGAAGCAGAGGTAAACCTCTACTTCACGCTGGTTTTCTGTGAGGTCGTGGTACCACCCCGGTTCGAGCCGGCCCATCCGTGCGACAGCAAAAGCTGCCGCGTGGCTCTACCACTATTTAAATATATAAAAGCTTTAACAAAAATTTAATTCTGCGTTATAAAATAAAATGATGTGTCTTACCTAGTACGAAGAGCACCTCCCGCCCTCCCTCAATTGCGTGCACTATCCGCGTCACCACTAATCCCACTTCACTAAGCGGTTAGCCACCGTAGAGTCTATATCACCTGAGGATGCCTCGTGTAGAGGCGAAACAGGTGTCGTATTATCGTCAGTGGTGTGTCTTGCCTAGTGTAGTGGTGTTGGGAGTAGCGGTGCTGGGATTAGTGGTGACGGGGATAGTGCACGCAATTGAGGGAGGGCGGGAGGTGCTCTTCATACTAGGTAAGACACATTTTATTTTATAACGCGGATATTTGCGAAGTAAATTTTTGTAAAAGCTTTTATATAATGGATTTCCGCAAAGTAACGCCTGATTCTATTAATTATGTTTAAATATATGTAAAAATAAATATATGTTCAAATAGATGACGGTATAATCGTTACCCTACACCAGACGTAAATCAAGAGCGGTGACTACGGCAGTATCGAGGACAACTCTTCCCTTTTAAACTATAGAGCTATGCTGCAGCTATATATTATGTAACACGAATGAGTCGGCAGGACCGGGGAAGGACCACGCTCTCACAGCGCTGCTAACGCTGGTATGCTATTTAACGATGGTGAATGTAGAGAACCGGATACCCTTTTTACCTGAAACGAGGCGTCCCATGTAGTCCTCAAGGATGACAACGCGTTTGCATTTCGTTTCTTAATCAAGGGTTTATATGTGTCTATGGGCCACAGCATTTACTTATCTTCAGGTGGACTGAGTGATCGTTTGCCAGCCTTACTCTAAAAACAAATTGTGGGAGAGATTTATGTCCAGTTGTGGACTGCTAATCAGTGAAGTAATTGGATGTGTGATTGTAATCATAATTATTGCAATTGATTTTCTACCGACTTCAACAAGGTGGAGGTGCTCAATTTCACTGTATGTATTTTTTATGTGTGTTACCTCATAACTTTTTTCTTGGTGAACTGATTTCGATGATATATGATATTTGAAAGCTGGCGCTTCTCATGTGGTCTCACATAAATTTGTTCAAGGTCTGATCAATAGTTTTTTAATAATTTATATTGAAGTCGGTTGGCCAAAATTTTTAATTTTATATTATATTATTTTGGTTAGATATTCTACTTGGCTATTCTTACTTCATTTGTTTTGTTTCCAGAATCCAAACAGATCCGAGTGGAACGTATCTTCGCTGGACACTTAAAAACCTCTCTTGAGATGCACGGCTTCCAAATTTGCGTTCTGCATTTGAATAAAGAACAAGGGGACTTTTGGTTGGAGTTGCTCGACGCTCCTACTGATGCTTTGGGGTGGACAGGAGGAGAGGCATCCAAGAGAGGGCATGACAGTCACGGGGATGATGAAAGTTTGATGCAGACAGATGAGAGAGAGGTGAGATTAATCCGGTACTTTCCATACTCTCCATTTAAATTTTTCTGCGTCAGGCTTTTTAATTTTGGCCCATGAATAAAATTGTGTAAAATATTTATCGCGCGTTGTTGGATGGTGACTGCGTTAGAGAGTCCATTACCGCATTACGTCAGGCCTCTGTCACTCTTGGTACCTGAATGGTTAAAATGTCTATAATCACGCGGAGCCTCAAGTTACATACGCGTCTTAGGTGAGGGACCTACTAGTGAATTTCGAAGTTTTGGAATGAAGTTCCTTATCGGACGGTACGGGTTTGGCGGATGGGAGCTAGGCGACAAAAAGTGTAAGATTTTTTCTTCACTACCCCTTGTGTCATAGTATTGTGCCTTGGCGGCGAAATAAGGAAATGAGATGGAATAATATCCATCTCCCTCGCACTTTTTCTTATCTTGCCATGAAAGTAATATTATTTTATTTCAAATGACGCTTCATTTTAATAGACGCTAGTAATTCATTTATGTGTATTTGTTTATCAATAATACTCGTATAATATTAAAAACTATAATAATAATTTAAAAAAAAACTAAAACTAGAAACTTAATTATCATATAATCCTACTCCCCGCGGTATCGTGCCAAGAACGCTAGCTGCGTTTCGCCGCTGAATGGCTATACTTAGCCTTTGAGCAAGAAAAGAACCAGCCCTCTTATCACCAGCAGCAACGACCAGTCACGGATGGAGTTCCCTTAGGAACTTCACCGCACGTGGACCCCACGGGCCGATAGTCTCTACAGCAAATGGCAAAAATATGTAGTACCTACGTTTTTCAATAATAATATACTACGCAAGGAACTTCGTTACAGCCGAGTGTTCCAAAAAACTCACGCATTTTTTTAAAATGTTCCGTAAATTGTTTTTTATAAATACTTGTTTAAAAATTTTTTTGTTTACTGTTTAGTCAATTTAGTTACAGGATAAAATAGTTGTATAAGTTTTAGTGTAATGCATATAATGGAAAATATATTCTTAACAATTTTGAAAACTGAATAATGAAAAAATCCAGCAAATAATTTACTGTAATTATTAACGAATATTAATTTTATCACTCCGTGTCCATGCTGTCCCTCCCAGGATTTACTTAAATTATTCGTCAGATTTTGAGTTTCATCCATTCTTAAATTAAATAACTGTTATTAAGAGACGGTTAAAAAAAATAAAAAAAAAAATAAGACAATATATCGAAGTAAAACAGTTGTACTTTAAGTGCTGTCTATATTTTTTTTACTCTTTGTTGAAAGCTTTGGGTAATTCTCGCGCGCAGCGAAAAAGTTTAATATAGCATGCGTGCGTGATTTATCTTATTATAGTTATTTCACGATGAAGTTTTGACTTTGGTTGTTGTTAGCCGTGCACATACACATTGTGTTAGTGTGCGTAGGCTAACTATTCGGGAGCTCGGGAGCTCCCGAAGAGAATAACTTTACTAATAATTATGTACGTTATTATAAATTTGGAAAGTAGTGAATATTAAAGAAGCACTTCTTTGATATTCACTAACTTCTGTACGTAGTACCTACTATTATTTATTCTGTGATTACGTCTCGTAGGCAGCGCCAGTTTTAACTTTTTGGTATCCTAGATTTTTATAACAAAAGGCGGTTGGCTAGCGCAGTTTATTTTGAGTTGTTGTCAGGAAGATACTGTCGCCCTTCTCCTAAGTAGTTCAGCTTCACTCTGTCGCCTCATACGAGACCCACGGGATGATATGGGCTAGTAGGATTTCCTTACACCACAACTAGGTTCACTTCTTACTTTTTATTTCTCAGACATGCAGGTTTCCTCTCGATGTTTTCCAGCACCGAGCACGTTGTAAATAAGCACTTAAAATTTCAATTAACAATTTAATTGGTGCCGGCGGGGATCGAATCCGGGTTGCTCGCTTACTATGAAATTTACAGAGACCGCTTAGGCCCTAAGCTACCACGGCTCCTACATTACCTTAGATGCTATTAAAAGCTATAGTTTTTTCAGAAATAGTTTTTTACGCGATCGTAATATTTTCGGAAATTTTTGCAATCAGTTTGGACGTTGCCAAATGGAATAAGTAGTTTGTATAAATAAATAAGTTAGATATATTTTTTTAATAAAACCGTGCTGCTGTGGAATTATTATATTATGGAGATTAAAACGCATTATGTATTAACTTTTCAAATGTTTAAAAAACTGTTGTTAGAATAGATACCGGTCTGTAATTCTCAACATCATTTTTGAGCCTTCCTTATAAACAGGAGCAACTCGAGTTGTTTTACAAATGGATGGGCATTTTAATAATTTGTTAATAGGTAGTGATTTGTGCAATAGTATTTTTTTTTATAGGATAGGGTGACAAACGAGCATACAGTCCACCTGATGGTATGTGGTTGCTGTGGCCCATAGACATCTACATCTATCCTCGATTACGAATCAAAATACAGATGCGTTGTCACCCGTGAGGACTAAGATGGAATGCCTCTTTTCCAGTAAAAAGGGTCTCCGGTTCTCTACACTCACCATACGAAACACAGCAGCGTTGAGCTGCTATTATTTTGTGTTCTATTATTCAGTGACAGCGTGGTCCTTCCCCGGTCGAGCCGACCCATTCGTGCTACAAATATACTACTAATATAGCTGCAGCATGGCTCTACCACGTAGTATCTGCTTAAACTGTCAGGAAATAAGGAGGAATTAAAATATATATTACACCCTTGGTTAGATTATGTCGGGACCCACGCTAACAGCGAAGCAGCAGGAAGTGCTACGCGGCAGCTTGAGGTCTGCAGCACAGCAGCTGGTGGCCAACGAGTCACTGCTCAACCGCCTAGACTCCGGCTGCGGGGACGGCGACTGCGGGATCACGCTCAAGAAGTTCGCTCAAGGTATTCTTTTAAATGAACTGAAAAATTTATTTATTTCTCCGCCCCATATGCACATAGTTGTTGTGTGTTTGTGTGAGTGTGATGTTTTTGCGACGGACTGTAGATTAAACTATGTGTGTGTGTGTGTGTGTGTGTGTGTGTGTGTATATACATTCAGTACACACACACATACACACACACACACACACACACACACACTACCACACACACACACACATATATATATATATATATTCAGTGTTGTATATACATAATTATATTCTCAATATTAGTCAGAAAATTGGCGGTGTTTCACTCCCGTGCTTCGGAAAGCATGTAAAACTGTTGGTCCTGCACCTCATCTTTGGATTGTCGTCCAAACGGACAATCAGAGTGAGGGAATAGAGAGTACACGTGTGCTTGCACACACTTGTACACTGACCTAGGTAGATAGAATAGATAGGGGTACATTGTACAATAATGTATATTTTATTGACCTAGGTAGATAGAATAGATAGGGGTACATTGTACAATAATGTATATTTTATTCATTTGTTCAACGATTTTTTTTATAGAACAAGGGTAACAAACGCGCACACAGTCCACCTACATTTTACCTCAATTAAGGAACAAAATGCAGATGCGTTGTCACCCCTGAGGATTATGATGGAATATCCCGTTTCCAGTAAAAAGGGTCATCAGTTCTCTGCACTCACCATACGAAACTCAGCAGCATTAAGTTGCAATTTTACGATGTTGTTCTGTGATACGAGCATAATATAGCTGCAGCGTGGCTTTACCACGTATTTTAAAGTTTTTACTTCAAAAATGCGTTCTCACCAGCGATGCTGTCGTACTTGGAAACGGCGTGCTTAGAGCGCTGTGCCAATGTGCTGTGGCGGCTGTCGGAGCTGGCGGAGACGGACATGGGCGGCACGTCCGGCGCCGTCTACAGCCTGGGCCTGGCCGCCGCCGCACACGCACTCGCCGGGTATTCATCGCCTATTTATTTTTTTAGTTTAAAACTATTGTGTTTAGGTACCGTGAATATGTAGCAAAAATATAAAATACCAATATTTAATAATATTTAGTAATAAGCTGCACGCTATAGAAAATACGTAAAATCAATTAAAAATTAAAAATTTTGTACACTTCAACTTAAATTATATATTTTGTAGACTTCAATATAAATTATTAAGAATAACTCAAATACTATTGGTCTGACCTTAATAAAATTCATATGGGGCCACATGTGAAGTACCAGCTTTCAAATAAAAAAAGAGTCATCGAAATCGGTTCACCCAGTAAAAAAACCTTACAGTCGAATTGAGTACCGTCTTCTTTTTGGAGTCGGCAGAAAATAAATGATATACGTTATCGGTTAGAGCGCGTGCACATGTACTTATATGACATGATATAAGTACATGATAATCCAGCCTAATATCAATAAGTTAATATATTAAGGTTTAATATATTAACTTATTGCTATTAGGCTGGATTTAGTGCTCGACCGACGGTGAGCGCTGACATCGGTCGAGCGTAGCTATATCAATGACAACCTATTAACGGCTACAGTGTAGCGCTGATGAAGTACTACGCGCTTACGGCACGTCGCGTGTACGAGGACCGTCGGTCGAGCTCGACGCTCCGACGTACGTCGGTTGACTGACGCGCTATCCGCCATAGCGTGTGTCCAGTGCGACGCTGACAGAGCGACCAACTATACGCGCGTACGCATTATCGCGAACAAAAATGAAGATTGATACGTGAACAGTGTTCTCGCAATTTCGAATACAATGAACAAAATTCTTCAATTAAATGGTCTACAATTATTGGGTGCACATGATATCTTCTCCGTCTTTTATGCCGTAATCGTTTGCGTAAATAGTACGCACATATTATAGAGTTAACAAATGGATTCATTTTTCTTCGTATTTGTACACGTCTAAGAAAGCTTACCGTCAGTTAAGCACTAAACGCTTGGCCTCGACCGACGGTCAGGACGTACCGTCAGCGCGTACGGTACGTGCTGACCGTCTGTCGAACACTAAACCAAGCCTTAGTGGCGGATCTTTACCGTTTTTTTTTTGTTAACGTAATGAAACCGTTGGTGTTTGGTCATCAACTAGTTGATTAACTAGTTAGTCAACTAGTTAATCAACTAGTTGACATGTTAACTAATAACAACTTGAATAATTAAACGGTTTACTGATAATTTGACGCCGTGACTGTCAACGAGTTACTACTCATGTTTGTAGTTGCTATAATTTTGTTCCGTAGCGCGGTGTCCAATGATCCAGCCGCGTGGTTGTCCGCGTGGGAGAAAGGGATGCAGGCCATCACGAAATATGGCGGCGCGGAGCCAGGAGACAGAACCATGGTACTATAATCCTGGTATTCAAAAGATTGACGCTGCTTATTCACATGCTTCGTTACCAGAGAATCCAATCTATAAAAAAGACGGCTTCGTGGCGCAGTGGCTTAGCAATGAGATGCTGCACTGGGGGGCGCGGGTTCGAATCCCGCACGGAACATGTATTTGTATGGCCTACAAATAATTGTTCCGGGTCTGGATGTTTGTCCTTGTGCAATTTGTGTGTAGAGGGGGGGGGGGGGATAACCTTTTACAAAAATAAAAAAAATAAAAGTCCACTGCTGAACTTAGGCCGCCCCCATAGGTTGCTTCATAAAGGGGATTTTTGCCATAATTGCCACGCTTGGGAGGCCGATTAGAAACCAGTTTTTTATTATTTTCAGTTGTCAGGAAATACTGATGTCCATTTCCTGTCTGACGATATGGGATAGTGGATATTCTAACACCGTCTACACGAATACCAGTAAATAAGGTCACAGATTTTTGTCACTCACAATACGAAACAGCTACATAATGCTGGTGTGCTATGAGGGCGTAGCCTTTCCGCGGGCGAACCAACATTGGACTATTCCATATAGGTCAAAATTTTATAGAAGGGAGCGCAAACGAACATGCGGTTTACCTGTTGGCAGAAAAAATAATAGTATTTGATGGTAAGCGATTACGACCGCCCATGAACAACTGCAAAAGCAGGGGAATCGCGGGTGTGTTGCCAGCATTATTTGTAGATTAGCCAGACCCGCATACAATTGTCTAATTCTCAATGTTTGTCCATGAGAAATTTATGTAAGGTGTACCCGCAGGTACCTTACATAAATTTCTCATAAAGCCTGGCCGCAAATAAGACCCAAGTAACAAAAATCATATTTATAATAACCGCTCTCGCTCATGGAGACATTAACAGACTCCTATTGACAAGTTTGCGGAGACGCGCAAGCCAAGGAATCATAAGATAGCTACTTTTACACGTGGTAGAGCCATGCTGCAGCTATATTATGGTTGTAGAATGGGTCGGCTCAACCGGGGAAGGACCACGCTCTCACAGAATACCAGCGTAAAATAGCAGCTTAACGCTTCTGTGTTTCGTATGGTGAGTGTAGAGAACCGGACACCCTTTTTACTGGAAACGAGGCATTCCATCTTAGTCCTCACGGGTGACAACGCATCTGCATTTCGATTCTTAGTCGAAGATAGATGTAGATGTCTATGGGCCACAGCAACCACTTACCATCAGGTGGACTGTGTGCTCGTTTGTCACCCTTATCCTATAAAAAAAAGATACGACCGCACTGCACCAATAATAAAAATTTCTCCAAATAAATCGTAAGTATGTTTTGTAATAATACATTTAGCTATCTAATATCTTTATGAATAAAAGCATTATTGATCTTGAAGATTTGAATAACCTATCGTGACCTATTTATTTTTATTTGATTTTCTTAACATTTTTTGTTTAGAATTTATTTCTTAATTGCTTCGTTCATGTGTTTACTAATCACAAAAATTAAATATATTACGTATAGCTTGATTATTTGATTTCCTTAAAGCAGTAGACCTTATTATCCTACCGTAGTAAAATAAGGCCAAAAGCATGTTTTTTAGACATGTTTAATATTGTTTTTCTTTATGGTAAATGTTACGATTTTTCGTTAATACTTTATAGAAACTGTACTAAACCAACGACTTTTATTAAAATCTGTAGACTAAATTGGATATTTCACATTTTATTTCAAGTTTTCCTTAGTTAGGCCATATTATCCGCAGGTACCTTATATAAATGTCCCCTGGATACAGGAGAACAACATACTTTTTTTTCTAAAAAAAAATCCAGCACTTAATGCACTACTTTTATTTACCAACGTTTGCCACAAATCATTGTCACTGATCCATAGCTTATTTACACTCTGTAATCTGATTTCTGCCAGGCTATTCACAATGTCTCTGAAAGATTTCTCTCGGAAGCGGAAAGGTTTCGTTCATCAAGTATTCCATTCGAATGTCACAGACAGACAAGAAGTTTTTCGAATGTCAGTGGGGGTGCACTAAGTGCAAATATTGGAGTAATTATATGGAAATACGTACTATAGATAATTGTAATTAATTTGTGTTAACTACATTATACTTAAAAAAAACCTATTTATCTCTTTTAATTATCACTTCTCAAGTTTTCCCCAACCTCAAAGCTCTCGTAAAGTTTCCGATGTCAACTGTCACAATTCCCGAAAAAGAATGTCAAATTTATCCAAACGGCGAATGTGAATAGCGTTTATTGGTTTCCGTGCGATAAGTTATAGAATCCGAGTCGATTTCCCTTACCGAGAGATTGTGAATAGACCTGCAGCTTTGTTTAAAGTAAGCTCCAGGTGTATATGGACTGTTGTAGCCATTTAGCATCAGTAGGTCTGTAAGTTCGTTTGTTACTTCAGTTTTATATAATACTAAAATCCTTAATATTGAACACCTGGTTTTCTCAAAGACCAACAGATCAAAACGCAGTGTAAGGCCATCTTCTACTTCGTTTACTCACCTTGGTATCACACTAACTTAATGACGTCATGACTGTAATCTCCGTTACTGCTGTAGAAGTGTTTAATTTTTTTATAGGATAAGGGTGACAAATGAGCACACAGCCCACCTGATGGTAAGTGAATGTTGTGGCCCATAGACATCTACATCTGTCATCGATTAAGAATTAAAATGCACATGCGTGGTCATCCCTGAGAACTATGAAAAAACGCCTCGTTTTCAGTAAAGTAAATGTAATTATTATTCTATTGTTGCAGCTGGATACATTACACGCGGCTGCCGCGGTGTTCAAAGCCAACCTCGACCAGGACCTGAAGACCTTGCTCCGGAAGACTGCTGAAGCGGCTGAAGAAGGAGCCAAAGCCACCATTACTATGACCGCCAGGTATATGAGTGCTGGTTAAACTTCTGCTGTAAGCCTTTTAGGTGTGTTTGGTGGAAGGAGGTTAAGTGTGGTTGTGGCGATATGAATTCCAAAGCTCAATTAGTTCATAATTGAGTGGTCAAATACTGGTGCCAACAGTACTCATTAACCATAGTGTACAGAAAATTGAAGTTCCACATGTCGCATGTCTTCGAAATACTTTTATTTCTCAGAGCATGGTTTCCTCACGATGTTATCCTTCACTCCTGTAGTAGGTACGTCAGCACCTAAAATTGCAATTAACTTCATTGGTGCCGGTGTTACGACTAAAAGCCGAAGTGCGGTTCCTGCAGCGGCCAGCAGTAGTTGGTTAAATTTAGGTGTACTGTTAAATTTGTAAAAACATGGATATCAAGTAATACCAGCGACAGTAGGTTAGGACCAATTGAAAGGGGACAGGGTAGCGCGCTCCCGATATAGATCCCTCATCTGAAAGGATCCAATCAAACTGGGATTAGTCTGTCATAGACGTTCTACCCAGAAACTCTTTATCACACCACGTTGGGTTCGGGCGGTCAACGAGGTGGATGTGCACCCCGTTAAGGAATATCACAAGAGAGCGTCTTCCGCCCCTGGCCACCCCAAAACCGCAGACATTTATCTAATTTATAAACTATATACGGTACACCCAAGTTTAACCAACCGCAATAGGCAGCATCTAGTTCTAGCCGGCTAGAACACCGGCAGAGATCGGATCCATCCTCATGTATTGTGAAATTTACGTTGAGCACCTAACTCCTGAGTTACCACAGCTGCTAACAGGGCGTAAGAGTGCTATAATTATATAATGTCTAAGAAAAATGCCACCGTAGCAAAATTTACCTTTCGCAACAAAAATAGCTAGCATGTCTTAGTATATTACATATTCTCTCAAAATATTGTAAATCACAATCATTTACTAGGATCTCATCATCATTATTATTCAGACATGCAGGTTTCCTCACAATGTTTTCCTTCGCCGCCGAGCACGTGGTAAATCAGCACTTAAAATTGCAATTAACAATTTCATGGTTGCCAGCGGGGATCGAACCCGGGTTGCTCGCGTACTGTGAAATTTACCGCGAGCGCCAACCATCTGACCTACCACGGCTCTCAATAATTGGCCTACAAACAATTTTTCCTGGTCTGGATGTTGGTTCTAAACTGCCCCACCATACAGGAGACAATCCTAGTGTAGAGGTAACGCTTTAAAAAAATTAAGAAGAAGGACACTTACAGGGCGGGTCGCGCGTCGTACGTGGCGAGCGGGCACGTGCACGACGAGGACGCGGGCGCGCGCGCCGCCGCGCTCTGGCTGCAAGCTATTTTGAACTTCATCGCCGATGCATATTAAGAACAAAATAGTTTAGGTCTTGTATTCGTTTGTAATTTATATTGTTTTTTTTTTTTTAATAATAAATATAATATATCAATTGTTTTGATTTGTTTTTTTTTTTAAGTCCCGAGTTTTGGTTGCAATCTAAACAATACTACCCTGCATGAATATTATTCTGATTTTATCTACCAATGTATATTAAGATTATAATATCTAATGTAGTGTTATTGACGTCTGTTTGTATTGTTACAGACGTCTTAAGTCTTTGTTTTTGGGAAATGATATCAATATTATAGTTTTATAAAAAAATATATCATATATGCAGCTATATTTAATTTCTCGAGTAGTGGTGTTGTACTTTCTCCACTACCCTATGTCATCCTGTGGGTGTCGAAGAGGCGACAGATGGAAACTGATACTGATGATGGGCAGCGGAATGTTCCTGTTAACAATTAAAATTAATTAGAACTGCGGTTGCGAGTCCGCCTGCCAAGAGTGGTAACTATGGCAAATATTCCCCTCAATGAGGCAATCCATGACCCTGCGTTCAGCATTGCACATTAATAGGCTGTAATCATAATGACGGTGAAATAGGAATTTTTATTTTCTGCTAATGCTGTAAATCTTTACCAAAGAAATTGTTAGCTTTTTATTAAGGTGTTATGTTTTCTTAACCGATTTTGATGATTCATTTTTACTCTGACCAGTAGTTTTTGAATTATCCTTATTAATGCGTATTTAATTGACTTCGACTACACTGATGACGTACTCATTTTATATAAATGAGGGCTAATAATATTCCACTCACCAGATGTCGCTAGTTTTTTTTATAGGATAGGGTGACAAACGAGCATACAGTCCACCTGATGGTAAGTGGTTGCTGTGGCCCATAGACATCTACATCTATCCTTGTTTGCGAATCAAAATGCAGATGCGTTGTCACCCGTGAGGACTAAGATGGAATGCCTCATTTCCAGTAAAAAGGCTCCGGCCACCTGCACTCACCAAGCGAAACGCAGAGGTAAACCTCTACTTCACGCTGGTATTCTGTGAGGTCGTGGTACCACCCCGGTTCGAGCCGGCCCATCCGTGCGACAGCAGAAGCTGCCGCGTGGCTCTACCACTGTTAGTTGCGACTGAGGTAAAGTTTTTTGTTACACAATGTCAGTTAATTGAGAAATTATTTTAAATAATACGTTATCAGTTTCCGTTAGTTCATTTAACACACACCACAGTGGTTTGATCATTAATTTGTTGGACTTTCTAACTCCTTTTTTTACTTTTAGTTATATTTATAGTTAGGTTTATTCATTTCTAATCTAATTAATATAAAATATAACTAATAATACAGAAAGAAACATTGAAGTTTACATTTTCCTAAGAAATTATCGTGCCCGCTATGAAATCTGTCAAATATTTTACCTCATTGTAAAGTGGCGCCGTCCTGGTGGCAGAAAAGTCGTGGATGTCCTCACTGAAGTCGGTAGCACATTTTTTTAATTTTACCACTTGTTACTATTATAAGTACTTGACTATTAGGTATCCCACCTGATGGTAAGTGGTGTTGCAACCAAAGATGATGAACCGCACTAACTTAGCTTAACAAACGCCTATTCACTCTTGTCACGAAAACACCCACATTATAATCGGATGGGAGGCAAACCATTTGGTTCTAATAGTTGGTATGTGGATAACAAAGATGTGGAGACCAGACGAATATAGCGTGACTCACCGAGACTCGGGTAGGTATATAAGTTAACGTTAAGTCTCGTGCTGTCTCTGTCACTTTAAGTAAAAGTTACTGACACCACGAGACAACGATATCTTGAAATTGAATAGCATTTGAACTCTATAATAGGTCTCACTATCGTCTAACTTAGCCATCTGGCTGTTAACATTGATTGGGTATAAATGTCTCCCTATGGGCCGCTTTTAATTTTGAAAATGGAGTACGAAAAAATCCGACAAGCCTCAATGAAACATCATTTCATAGGATATTAAAATAAAAAAAAGAATGAGAGTGCTTAGCCGTGATAGCTAAGGGGCTAACCGCTCGCTGGAAATTTCACAGTAAGCGCGAACCTCGGGTTCGATCCCCGCCGGCACCAATGATATTGCTAATTTCAGTTTTGAGTGCTGATTTACTAATGTGCCCGGCAGTAAAAAAACATCGCGAGGAAAGAAGATAAAAAGAAAATCGAAGACATGTGAAGTCCGCCAACAAGCATTGGGGCAGCGCGAATGACACTCCCTAACTCTAAAACCCTTTCAGATATGAGAGGTCAGTGCCCGGCAGTGGGACGTATAAAAATCTGTCGGGATTTTTCTGTCAAAAACTATCAGCAGCAGCCCGGAGTCAAAGCATCGCTGTTGTTTCTTCTTTACATAAAGAAACCACCGAGCTTAATAGAATCCAATTATCACGATACCACAGATAGACACTTCAATAGTAATACTACTGATTGCTCTTTAAAATCATTATTTTATTTAATTCTTTTAAAAAAAAACTTATTTGTAGTGGGCGTCCGTTAACTACGTCCGGGGGTGGGTGGGGGGGGGGGGGGGGGGGTCGGCAAATATCACGTATTTTTTTCCCGCAAGTAACTGTAAAGTTTAGTAAGAAAATTGGGTTGTATAATGTAATATATTTCTAAATCCTACAAAAATAAATAATTAAGTATGTAAATTATGTTTACTTTTAAATAAACCCAACGCAATCAAGCACAGATTAACGTATAGCTTAAGAGCCAGTGAGCAGCAGACTTACGGTATTTCAATAAGCTTCACTTTTTTTTCAGTTAATCCCCTATACCTGAGGCACATGAAACGAGGACTCTTTAGTTTGACCGGCAGGCGATATAGAGACCCTCAGGAGTTAAAGGTGTAAAAAAATGACCCAAAAAAACGTGATAGCAATAAGTCTGCCGCTTTGACATCTTGAAATATTTAATAAAAATCATCGAAAAATAACATTGGCAAACACCTATGACGGTTTTAAGGTCATGGCAGACAGGTTGGAAAGTACAATTTTTTTATTAATAATTTACGTTATTTCAATAAAGCTGCAATTTACATATATTGTTGATAATATTACTTGACATGTATAATTTTCACGGCAGACACATATTGTGGTTGTATCGCCCAGGCAGACAACAAACTTCTGGGGCGCCCATAAGCGCGTACTATAATAGCGCTCGCTCTCATCCAGTCTTTTTCTTTCTAGTTTTGTACGCTCTGATACGGATATCATTATAATCATGCTTGGTAATATGCTACATTTAAAAATAGCTCTTCTCAAGTATGGATTCTCACGGGAACAGGAAATAATTTTTTTTTGAGGAAAGGCAAACGAACATGTGGCTCACCTGATGGTAACTACCGCCGCCCATGAACAACCGCAACACCAGGGGAACCAGGGGAATTGCAGATGCGTTGCCGGCCTTTGAAAATAATGAACGATTCATAAATATTTCAAAAATTTATGAGCAACGTCGTGATTTATTGAGTAAAAGTTTGCTTGGTTTCTATGTATTTACGGGCTGTGATTATAATCCAGCTTTTTAATAAGGAAAAAAAAACGACCCTTTACCTTACTACAGAAAACTCAGGCATACCAAGAACCCTTCGCAGCTTTTGGTGACAGTAATTTAGCTGAGAACCAAAAACAACAGCCTTTTAATGTTGTCCAAAAGTTTACCTGTCAAATATATAATGCAAAGAAATCAGTAGATGTAGATGATGGCAGGTTCCATCTTTTTATAAATAATTATACATCAAAAGATCTCAATGAAAAATTTAGTAAGAAATTACACTGTTTTGATGGAAGCTCTTTACCACCGTTTAAGCGTGAGCTGTATCAGCAAAAATATCCAGTACTAGCTGTGCCCCGCGGTTTCACCCGCGTCATCACGTGTCGGAGGTGCGCGACATACCCTAGTTCAATCATTTTATAATTGCAATTAAATATTTTATTTGATAGCAATGGATGGAAAAATTGGCATAATTAATGGAGTACTTTTATCTGTCGGCATATTATGTATGATGTAGAGCAAAGTTAAGTTTTATCCACTTTCTCTTCCCCCCACGTCACAGAAAGTGTCCCGAAGCGCAGTTTTTTCTAGTTTTAAAGAAAACCGTACCCGATACATGAAAAGTGTGTAAGCATGAAATTATTCTTGAGGTATCAAACTCTTATACTTATTAAGTGGCGAAGCTTGCGAAGTCACTTATTGATTTCACGATGTCTGTCCGTGTGTCCGTCTGTCCGTCTTTCCCACGATTATCTCGAGAACGGTTTCGAATTTTCAAATTCTGTTTTCAGCAATCGATTAGTGATCACCCAGGCATCTGAACCTCCTATTTTGAAACTGATTGCTCAACGGCAACTGTTAGAAACCGCTACAAAGCTGATTGCTTCGCCACTTTGCTATGCTGTTAGCTTGTTAGGTTTATTAATCAATTAAATTTTCAAAATACCATAGCAACGTGAAATGAAAGAGTTCAGAAATAAATATGTAACTAATCATTGTCATAAAAGTAGTCAATTAATTTTAAATTTATTTTAGCTATAATGATTGAACTAACCTCGCTCATAGAAGCTTTCAAAACTGGCTTCTCGCCGTTCTCACCGGGCGGCTAGGGTTTATGCGTCGTTCGCGCGCCCAGCCAAGTATTGAATTATTTTCATTTTACATTATCTCTTAAACTATACATCCAAATAACATCATGGTATAAGGAACAAAGTTTATCTTCATAAAATTGTCTTGATGATGAAGTAACTTTCATTCGTAAGGATAAACAGGCCATGCCTAATAATAACGCTTATAAATCACTTTTAAATTTTAAATATTTTTTGTCACAAAATACCTAATTATGGCTTATGTATAAGAAATAGACATATGGTATCGCGGTCTTTCTTTTAGACGGAGTAAAAATCTATATTTTTCTATAACATTGTATTTACGTATCCCTAACGATAACACCAGCGTACGCGGTGTTACGGCCTACGGTTGCTCCCT